GAGGGACCCCGCCACGGCTGCGGCTTCAGTCCCGGTGCCTGTGGTCTGCTGGGGACGGTCCCCAGAAGAGAACACAAACAGAGGGAAAGACAAAGAGGGGACAAGACCACAGAGAGAAACAGAGACAGAAAATAGGGCAGTTTCAGTAGCTGAAGAAACCATGAGTACTACATGGGAGGAGCGAAACACAGAAATCTCCAATGGGAGAAGCTGTTTGCTTTTGCCAAAGGGAAATAAAGAGGAGAGAAGCCACCCCAAATCCCTCAGGAAGAAGATATGTTCTCCATGTCATTTCTCTCTCCCCTCTCAGGAAGAAATGGAGAGGGATAGGACCCCCTGAAGATCCTGGAGGAAAGGAAACAGGATTGTCATCCTTCCCTGAAGATGGGGTAAGGAGGCTTCTGCCACTCCAGTCTCACCTCAGTCACCCCGCCAATACAAATAGCTCCCAGAAAGATAGAGCCTATTAAGAAGGAGAGGTCTGGTGGGTAAGGTAATCAAGATTCAATTCCCATCTTTGCCACAGACTACCTGTGTGATCTTTGTACCTCAATTTCCCCCTTCAATTTAATGAAGGTAATATTTCCCTACTTCCCAGAAGTTCGGCAAAGCTTTAACTCAATGATATTCATAAAGCTTTTTGAGCTCCTCAGATGGAAGGCAATACAGAAATGACTAGAATTATTAAAGATGTGAATGGATTTAGGAGACAGGATAAGAAGAGTGTAATCAACTGAATAAAAATTAATATCGAATGCACTTTAATGGGGTTTCTGCGTATGTATGAACTGAAGCACTCCTAAATGGCAGTCTGCTTCACCTCTACACTAACCAAGCACATGCACCTAATTTGCACTGCTAACCCTTTTTACCACAAACAGCACTAATTACATCAAGACACTTCATTTATCAAGGTTCACAAATTTAAAAAAATAATAATGATGTTGCGCCTCCTAATCTGACCCATAAAGAGCTTTAAGCACAAATTCTCAAAATGATCTTTTTGGGGAGATCATTTTGATTTTGGGAGGCTAGCTTTAGATATATAGCCACATTTTCAGAAAAAGCCAACAGCACTGGGTGTCTGCCTAGAAAAAAAACAAGTTCTGATTTTCAGAGGTACCAAACCACAATAGCTCCAAGTGGTAGCTGAAAATTAGGCCTTGGATCCACATTTTTTCAAAGCTCATTTTGGTGTCCAGTTTGAGACAACATAGCCATGATTTTCAGTGATGTAGGACAGTGGTTCCCAACCATTAGTCCACAGACCAGTACCTGTCAGCAAACTGCTGGTTGCCAAGCCATGGCAGTTCTGGGGGCCGGGGCTGGAGAACACCACCCAGCCAGTGTTCCCGCTGAGGTCCACACACCTCCTCAACAAAGCCACCTAGTGGTGGCTAAGCTGCTCCAGGGCAGGGACATGTGATGGGCAGCTGCCCCACCTCAGGAGCAGCAGAGCAGGCAACCCGCAGCTACTCTGGCAGCCCAGGCCTGGGCTAGAGCCACGCGGCCAGCATGGGGGGCTGGCACGGGAGGGGGTCTGATGGTGGAGGGGGGCTGGTGGAACTGAAGCCAGATGTTTGCAGCAGTTCTTGGGGTCGGAGCTTTTGGTAGACCGGTAACATTTTACTGGTATATTTGCATATTCATTATGAATGTGCAAATACATTGTTGCCAGTCCGCCAAAAGTTTGTGACTGGGTTTGCTGGTCTGCGGTGTGAAAAAGTTTGGGAACCACTGATCTAGGGCACAAGCAGCAAACTTTGAGTGTCTATGAGGTAGCGAGTTTGGGAACCACTGATCTAGGGCACAAGCAGCTCCCTTTGACTGTCTATGAGGTAGCAGATACTTAGCATCTTTGGGGCAGGAAAAAAAATCAATCTCAGTGTTGTCTTGGAAATCCAATAAATAAGGCACTTGCACAATTGAAGGATGATTTTCAAAATGTGCAACCTAATAACTTACTTAAGATCTCACAGAACAGGTGGCCAGGACCAGATAAGAATTTAGGAATTCCTGATATGTAGCCTTGCGTACTAGAATATACTGCCTCTCAAACAAGCAATTTCTGAGAGGGGCAGTGCAGAAAAAAAGGAATATATTTATTCCTATTGCTCCTAGCCATACAGTCTCTCTCGCCTAAATCTCCTTGAATTACTCAGTGGAAGTAAAACACAAGTGCAGCTACATACATATAGTCAGCTTTTTAGAAGAGTTTGACTTTGACTTAAGCACCTAAATAAAGTAACCAGATTTTCAAAAGTGCTCAAGTATGCAGCAGCTGCCACTTCATTTAGGTGTTTCAATGGAAGCTGGACTTTCTTTTTTTAAAACCAGTCTAGGGTGTTTGATTTTTTTTTCTTTCCCAGTTGCTGGAGTGGGATACAGTAGACTACTTGGGCACCCACATCTTAGAAACTCTTACACAGATACAAGATTTACGTTCACTGTCCACATTGTGATTGGAATGCACAACACAGTTTCACCACATTACATTTCAGAAGTGTAGAAGCTATTTAAGGTAAGAGGATATAATGATAGCATCTGCTTTTGCATTTAAAGATATGGGTGGTCCAGATAGAAGTGGTGATATGGAATACACAATTCATGCTAAAATGGAAAACTTACGATTTACAAGCAATGCATGTGCAGCTCAGCTGCCTTTCATGTGTGGAATATCAGCACCTTGGTAGCCAGTTCTGAAGTTGTGTAATACAGGCAGTCCCCAACTTACGTCGGATCCGCACTTACGAACGGGGCTCTCTCGCCCCGAAGCTCACAGGCAGCAGTCCGCCACCTCGACCTCCGGGGCGAGAAAAGCTGCTCCCGGTGCCCCTGGTCTGCTGGGGACCGTCTCCAGCAGACCAGGGACACCGGGAGCAAAGCCACAGTGGCGGGGGGCCCC